AGGAGATGGCTGAAACACTGCATTTCTAATAATAGAACAATTGAATGGATGATGGTTTCCTGGCTTTGACGGCTGTGAAGCTATTATCATTTGAGACCAAAAAAGATATAAAACAATTCTCTTGCTGGCCACATCTCAGTCTTGGCTCAATGTTGAACAACCTAGATATGAAACAACAGTGCTTTTTCATGATGGCTGTAAATGCATTGAATACATTTTCAGGTGTTAGATGATAACATCATAAAAATATACATTTTCATCCACAGAAATTCACCTCCACAGTTTAGACTGTCAAGATACTTAAAATGCACCTATTCTATAAATCACAAAAATAAAAACAGAAGGTTTTTGAACTTTCGGCCTGTTCAGTCTACCTTGTGATTAATAGATCTTTATATTTAAAGAGATATTTAAGATTTTTTTTTTTTGGTAAATGACTGCTAATAGCAGAACAAAGATTCCCTTGATGTTATCTTTATAAATCTTCTCTATGCTTCCTTCTCATACTGCCCCCACCAGCAGCACTGCCATGCCCCCTGTGCTTCCCGAGATCTAAGGAGTCCTGCTGGAGTGACCACTAAGTTCATACACTCATTTAGGACTACAACCTTACATGCAGCCATTCCTGAGAGAGCCACAGTGTCAAAGCCAAGTTGACACGGGAGCTGCTGTCCAGCACCATTGGGGAGGCGGTGAGGAATGGCTTTGACTCTGTGTCCCTCTCATTCTACTTGTGTATGTGGTGCTGAGAATGTCTGCACATAAGATGGTAGTTCTGAACAGGAACATGTATGTAGTGGAGACTGCAGAGGGACTCCATCGGTCCTGACTCCATCGGTCCTGACTCCATAGGTCCTGACTCCATAGGTCCTAATAGTAAAAGCTCTGCTATTAACAACTCATTTAACTAAATATTTTAATATCACTTTAAGCATTGCAGCTTAGTGTGTTAAGTACCTGCTTATATTTCACTTCAGAGATGGGAATCGACTGGAGGGATATATGAATGGAGGTACAGTTTAGTAAAGACATTAGGACATCATTAGGTTTGTTTACTAAAGCTGGAGAGTGTAAAATCAGGCTCACTTTTGCATAAAAACCAATCCTCTTCTAACCTTGGCTTGTTCAACTAAGCTTTGGCAATAAAACCTGGAAGATGATTGGTGTCAGGCGATCGAATCTGCACATGCGTAGAATCCTGACAAAACGTAAAGGTAGGCGGGCACTAGACCCAGGCGCGCCTGTCACCAATGACGGCGCCGGGCAAGCACTACGACCCAGGAGCGCCTGTCAGGAGTCGGGCGGGCTATTTAAACCCGGCTCTTGCAATGCTCAAGTGCCCTATGGTCTTATCTGTGTTTCTGAGTTCCTGTGAGTAGATTGTTTGTTGCCAACCTGCCTGACCCTGATTTGCTGTCCGTCTCCTGCTCTGATCCCTGGCTTTGTCTGACCATTCTCTTGCTTAACCCCATACGTTCTGACCTCCTGTTGACGAACCCGGCTTGTGACCTGTTTATCCCTCTGATTTTGCTGATTCTGTACTACACCGTCACCACTGTTACCGACCCAGCCTGCCCAACACTGCTTCAGTTACCTCCTCACATCAGACTCTTAACCGCTATACACCTTCAACGGTGCCTCTACCACAGCTGGTTGAACCCAGGGGCCGCGACATGGTCTCGGCCTGCTCCAAGTCCATCCCCACCATCAGGAGCTCTGGTGAACAAGCAGGTCGGAGCTTAGATTCCGCGCCTTGGGGGATTCTGGTCTGTGGAGTGCTAGAGGCTACCACGGTTGGATTCCTGACAATTGGTTTCTATGCAGAAGGGAGCCTGATTTTGTGCTCTCCAGCATTAGTAAATAAACCCACATATGTCATGGCAATAAGTGTTGAAGGCTTCATATTAGTTAGTCACATTTTCCTAGACTTGTTTAGTGATGCTGAAAACATTATTAAACAAGTACAATTGACTGTAACTATGACTAGCTATGCCATGGCATAGAGAAATGAGCACCACAATTGATGATACATTCATTTTTAATGTGTCTAAAATGGAGGAAAGCATGTCTGGAACATGGCCAAGCAACCTTACAGGAGCTCAGAAATATGCTTGACATTCAACTTACCTGTCAAACCACTGTGAATTAGCCATATCACAAGGAGCAAAACAACAGGGTCAGAGAAAATGACACTTTCAAGGATAATCTGCACAGAGATTTACCTTCTCAACCCCCTGAGATTCCAGACCACATGAAATTAAAGATCACGCAAGATCAACAGGCTGCTTACAGAGACATTAATCTCTGAGGTTTCCTTTGTTGGAACCATACACCTCACAGGTCAGTTTCTTGGAGGATGTATCAAAGCTCAGCCCCCTGACCCTCAAGCAGACATCAGCATATAGGTGAAAGTCATGGGCCTTTGCCCATCAACTTGCCCAGAACAGTTCTATTAGACCTGTAAGAACCACTAAAGCAAGATGATTCTGCTTTAACAGAACGGATTGAGTCATTAAAAAGTAAGCATGTGCAGTCTTAGATATTCATTTAAAAGATATAGAGACTAAGCAGATGTTCCACACCACCCACTTCACTCAACTCCATCTGCAGATCAACGATCTGGAAGAAAGTCTACCCCACCAGTCCACCTAAGAGAGACAGTCCTGGGCATCCTCAGCCAACTACTAGAAGACAATGCCTCAGAGATTGGTAGAGTGCACAGGGCCCTGGTTCATTGCTCCAATTACCTAAATGGACCTCTAGACATTTTGTGCAGAATACATTTCTTCACCACCAAAGAGCAAGTAGTAGGCAAAGCATGGCAGCAATGCCATATAGAAATTCAACAAGAACTCTTTACATATACTGTCAGACCTATACCATGAGGAGATCAGAAATATCAAAACCACTACTGGACAGATTCAGCACTGCAGGTGCCCTGTACAGATGGGGCTACCTTCTACACTTGATTGTCCACAAGGGTACACATTTTGCTGATCTGCTTTCTGCCTGATGTATCATCCCTATTGAAACAGCTACTCAATGACCCCTTCCTGACTGCTGTGCCACCAACAATTGCACTCAGCATTCTCTGCCTCTAACATCAGGCACAGGGAGAGAAATGAGGTGTGATTCTCTTCCACCCTGTATCAAGATCACCTTCTCCAGTCATACCCGACCATTAATTGTTCTCAAGGGAGTACAGTGGCTTAGTGGTTAGCAGGTCTGCCTTGCAGTAAATGGGTCACGGATTCGATTCCCGACCATGGCACCTCCTGCATGGAGTTTCCATGTTCTCCCTGTGCTTGCGTGGGTTTCCTCTGGGTGCTCTGGTATCCTCCCACACTCCAAAGACATGCTGGTAGGTTAATTGGATCCTGTCTAAATTGGCCCTAATATGTGTATTTATGAATGTAAGTTAGTGTCAGGGATCTCCTCGATCCCTGCCGCGATGGTCCCGGCGCAGGCGCACTGCTCCGCCCTGTACACGGGCACTAGGTCCGGGCCGGCCGCGGGGTTCGAGTTCGCGCATGCGCAGTAGAAGCCGCGGCCGCCCGCTGGGCACCAATGGCAGCGCAGGGCGGGATATTTAAAGGTCCCTGAGCTGTCATTTCTTTGCCTTCTGGTCTTACCTGCTTCCTGTGATCCTGTACCTGTGCCTAGTAAGTTTATTGACCCGGATTGTTTATTGACCTGCTGATTTCTCCTGCCCAGACCCTTGCTTGCCTGACCTCTCTCCCTGGATGCCCCTCATTAGATCTGACCTCCTGTTGCTGACCTGGCGTGTGACCCGACGATTCTCTGCCTGCTCCCTTGTACCTTACCGTCCTCTACTTTACCGACTCGGCCTGTCTGACTACGCACTTGCTCAGCCATCCATCCATCCCATCGGCGTCACCCGACCTCCTCACATATGGCTCTCCCTGGTTGGAGCCCCTGGCGAACACCCCTACCACTGACAGGTGTGCCCAGAAGAGGCGACCTGGTCTCGGGGTACTACAAGTCCATCCCCACCATCAGGGGCCCTGGTGAACAAGTACCCTGGGGCTTAGACTCCGCGCTCTGGGCACGCCTGACCAGTGGAGTGCTAGTGGTGCCGCTCGGTGGTCCCTCACAGTTAGGGACCTTCGATTGTACGCCCCTTGAGGGTTAGGACTGATGTGAATGTTCAATATATATATGTAAAGTGCTGCGTAAATTGACGGCGCTATATAAGTACCTGAAATAAAAATACATAAGGGAGTGTTATTTTCCCATTAGTAAATTGCTAACATTTGACCTGGCAAGTTAGAAGTTTTAAAAGCAACTCACATCTCCAGTTTTTGTAACTTGAACCACTCTCACACCAATCACCATCTGCATCAATAATTTATAGGACATCATGGTAACTGGACTATGGTACCTGAATCATATTGACTGGACCACCCATAATAGTTTAAACATCAGCAAATTCCTTACCATTCATAATTGGATAAATGTCTTTGAAGATTATAAAACAAATCCAGTTGCATTTGACCTAAAGTACATAAACCTATAAAATGTTTGCACAATCAAGCCATTTACAGTCAGACTGGAGAACATTTGTATGCCTATACACTCTCCCTGACATTCCCTAGCAATCCCTGCTTGGTTGACACATTTATTGGATGAAATGTGTAACATATTTTCTTTGATGACTGCTATTGTTTTCAATCAAGACAAGCTGGTTCATGCAGTGTTTCTCCCTCTCCTCTCCAAAACAAAAAACATGTAATCAATGTACTGTGAACATTGATTTGTAAATCATTCATAAAAAAACTTTTTAGCTACTAGATCACATTGCATGGCCAGGAGTTATCTACTGTCTGTAGGCACCTTTATTACTGCCAGTTACTATATATCTCATGATTTGTATGGTATAGACATGTAAATGCGTTCTTTTAATGCTGCCTAGATAGAGGCATACACACTACCCTATACATTTAAAATTAAAGCATCAATATTTTAATGTATACAGCAGGGGCGGACTGACCATTTGGAAACTCGGGCACTGCCCGAGGGCCCGGGGTCAGTAGGGGGCCCCATGAGATGCCCCTGGTACCTTTTTCATAGGCTTTTTTGAGTTTGGGCAAGGACACAGGGGCCCCATGATCCCCTATTGCCCGGGGGCCCCATGAGTTGTCAGTCCGCCCCTGTTATACAGCATTAAAGCTACCAATATATAATAGGCAGTCAAATAGAAAACATACTGAATAACCTGTGAACTGCAGTTAACATAAATAACAAGTGCAATGATGCAATATATTTTTTAGTTGTGTTGTTCAGCATAAAAAAGTCTGTAAAAAGATAAGTTAAGCCATGTAAGATTATCATTCAATTTGTCTGTATGTTAAACCATTTTGCAAGATGGGAACTAGTTGGATGCTGGAATGTGATTGATATCAGTGAGCTAAAGTTAGCTCTGTACATTACTCATACCCTACAAGACAGGACCAAACTATAACATATTGAAAGTCAGGAGGTTTTTAAAGGGCATGAACTTTAATCAATCTCAGCTGACATATTACGATCAGTTGAATTTAGCTGCATGGTATTTATTGCGTGGGGTATGGTCATGGTCAATTCACTAATTTGCAAAGTCTGCTTTCAAATAAGTTAAGAGATGTTTTTTTGTCACTTAAGAATTTACATTAAACAATAACCAAAAAAAATCAAGGATGAACATCAATTGTGCAGCTGCATAAGGGCCATCCAGCTAATTTATGCTGGATGTGGATCAGGGGCGGACTGAAAACTCATGGGGCTCCAGGGCAATAGGGGATCATGGGGCCACTGTGTCCTTGCTCAAACTCAAAAAAGCCTATGAAAAAGGTACCAGGGGCATCTCATGGGGCCCCCTACTGACCCCGGGCCCTCAGGCAGTGCCCGAGTTTCCAAATGGTCAGTCCGCCCCTGGTCTTGACTCCAATCTATCCTTCCAGCCCCAAGTCCAATCGCTAACAAACTCATGCAGACTCCACCTCCGCAACATCACCAAAATACGCCCATTCCTAACCCTAGAAACCACTAAACAACTCATCCACTCCCTCATCATATCACGACTCGATTACTGCAACTTCCTCCTCACAAAAAGCCTATGAAAAAGGTACCAGGGGCATCTTATGGGGCCCCCTACTGACCCCGGGCCCTCGGGCAGTGCCCGAGTTTCCAAATGGTCAGTCCACCCCTGATGTGGATTGAGACCCATCAAAGTCGACCTGGATATGGCTTACTTCAGTCCAGCTGTCAATCCATAAATAGCCTTGCATAGCATACCTACAGTATATGCTATAGTTCTTTGGAATTTAAAATATTAGACTATGTACACATGGGCACATGACACACTATAGCATGGTTGAGGAAAGTGAAAAAAAAATAGCACTGGACCTGTAGGGGGTTATCTCTCTGGTATTGCTGTATTAAAGTATTGATGTGAATGATCTGGTTCCCAGGCAAGCAGCTTCTACACCCCAAAGTATCTCCACAATCTCCTTGGCACACCACTGCTAAGAAGTTTAGATATTTATTTATTTCAGGTACTTATATAGATACAACTCTATTAAAAAAAAATCAGGAAAATTTAAAAAATATCAAATTCATTTTAGCACCCCCTTCATCAGGGCTAGAAAGAACAAAAGGACATCCCCATATCAATTCTATATCAATACAATATCCCCTCCTCATATTCATATTTAAAATCAAGTAGCAAATAGTATTGAAAAGAATCAAAATTAACATACAGAAATGTCAGACAAATATGAGAACATGAATACTAAACTATACCATTTCAGTTCAACAACAATTGGGTAAAAAAAATATATAAACAGTATGAGGAGGACCTCAAGAGACGAGAGTAACTCAAGTATGTGGAAAAGAACTGCAGTATGCATGGCCATAAATGATACGGCCTGCATTTATGTAATGCTCAGTTCATTCTAAAAAAAAACTTAATTTCAGTGTTTTTTATGTGCCAGAAACAAAATCAATGCTGGCACAACCTTCTGTGTACATACGGAAATATTTTTAAGAGTAATGCCTACACATGATGAGAAAATTGGACAAAAACTACCACTTTTGGAGCAGTCATCCGATAATCTGATTGTTAGTACACAACTTTCAAGAGCCAATCATGACAGTTCATCATGCAAAACTATCCGAAGGCACAAGCACGAAAAATTTCTTGTACGATACCAGAGCGAACGATTTTTGATTAATTAGTACAGTATACGTGCAAAAAAAAAAATTGAGTGGCCAAAATGGCACATGCCTGGAAATGAAAGAATACATTACAATACAATACAATACATAACTTCCAAAGTTATATTCTATCGTATGAGAATATTCGTAAATTTAGTAACCTCTTCATTTTCAATGTAGGACTAGCATGCAAAAAAGAGAAAAAGAAAGATATTTTCGTAATGTGTATGAGGCAGCCCATAGACAATGCAAATTTTTCTGTCCTCCAAATGCAGGTTGCAGGAAAGAAAAGTGCTCGATTCCCCCATCAACACAGTCAAGATTGATGGGGGAATGCCTCCTGCATGGAGCTATTGTGTTCTCCCAGTGGGGGGGAGCAGTCCATGCCAGGAGAACACAGTGATATAGCTGCTGGCAATAATTGGCAAAAATCTGACAGGCTGGTTGTACCCAAGATGCACAACAATCTAATTGGGTACAATGAGCATGACCATAGATGGTTAGAATCTTGGCTGATCTCTGCTGAACCGGTTGATATTCGAACCATCTATGGCTGTCTTAAATCCACTCTGAACTAATACAATATTTCAGTATTCATTGTATATAGAAACGTGTGTGTTACTGAATTTGTTGTATTTCTCAGAAACTCCACGTGGAACTGATTTAACTATTACAGTTCAAGCAAACAAGTCTTGATTATTTTTAAATGATACAGAAAATTTTCAAAAAGGAAGCCTCCAATCTGTCCACTGACTGATAAACACAATGATATACTTCAACTCAAAAAACAGAGCAAAACACAAAAACAATCTGTATATGTGAAATATCTTATCCTATAAATAATATTAATACAAATATTACAATTTTATATAAGTGTCAAAAAACAAAAAAAATCTAATGACACATACAAAAAACAAAAAATCAGTGACACATACAAAAACAAAAAGTCCAGTAACACATACAAAAAAACGTCCAGTGACCAAAAAAAACTTATATTTCCATGAAATTCTTCAGTGCCAATAGTAATCCTTCCACCATCCACCAGTGCAAAACCAACATGAACCGCACTCACCAGATATTTGGTGAGTATAACGCCTTTCAGGATTATTTAGGGCTCCTGGTACCCCTTTATAACCTCCAAATATTGCCTCCTCTAAGATATAGAAACCTCCTCCGATTACTCCCCTCGCCGACTCCACCAGATTCCAGGAAGAAGAAAAAAACTAATACCGTTATAACTTTCAATCTTAATTAGCTTTAAACCAGACCACTCACATTTTAAAAGGTAATAACCAGCATTTATTTGTAGATAAAAACGAATTTTCCACAGATCCTGTAGTAAGACCTCACAGCCAGGTACACAGCAGGATGACAGACCTCAGAAACAGCCTCCTCCACTAAGCAAGATGGCCCCTTGGAACGCACCGCTCGGCGTGCGTTCCACTCACCGGAAATGACGCAGGCAGGATGCCGGGACGGCCAGCCGGAAATACGTCGACGCGTTTCGCCCCACCCACAGGGCGTTCTCAAGACCTGACAATGATATACTGCATCTATATGCTGTGAAGTGAGGTTTGTTCATGAGGACTGAGGCACGAGTGGTGCAGAGTATTGGAGTCCTGAAGAACGCTAGTAATTTATCCGGTCAACATAATGATTATTTTTATTATTATACAGTATTTATAAAGCGCCAATAGTTCGCTCAGCGCTGTACATTACAGAGGGGGACAGAACATGTGACAGAACAATACCAATACAATGCAAAACATGAGGGGATCGAGGGTCCTGCTCTTTCTAGCTAACAATCTAGGAGGGAGGGGATGGTGGCACAGGAGGAGATAGCTGTGGGGGATGGAGTGGTGGGAAGAGTGGAGGAGGTCGTAAAGTTATCAGGGGGTGGGGTAGGCTTCCCTGAAGAGATGGGTTTTCAGGGTGCTCCTAAAGGAGAGGAGAGTAGGTGATAAATCTGATGGGTTGGGGCAGGTAGTTCCAGAGGATGGGTGACACCCTGGAGAAGTCCTGGAGGCGGGCATGGGAGGAGGAGACCAGGGAACTAGAGAGAAGGAGGTCTTGTGAGGAGCGGAGTGTGCGTGCTGGGTGGTACTTGGATATTAGGTTGGTGATGTAGTTCGGGGCAGTGTGGTGGACGGCTTTGTACGTCAGCGTTAGGATTTTGAATTTGATCCGTTGCGCAATCGGAAGCCAGTGGAGGGGATTGGCAAAGGGGGGTGGCGGAAACGGAGTGGTTGGAAAGGTGAATGAGTCTGGCAGCCGTATTCAGGATCGACTGAAGCGGGGATAGCCAGCGGCGAGGCAGGCCAGTGAGGAGGGAGTTGCAGTAGTCGATAAACCCACTTAGCCTTTAGTATAGGAAGCTGAATATATAATTGCAAAAACACACACACAAAAATGCTTTATTTGTCAAAAATATACAACAATATTTTCCTAGGATAAAGTAAAAAAAATAATCAAAAAGAAAAATGTCTTTTTTTTCTGATTAGATGTGCCTTTAATGAAGTTAAGTGTTTGCCATCAATGAACCAAACATTTTATGGTGGGTAAAACGACACTTTCTTTAAGGATGTCTTCATTCCATTCCCTATGTAAAGTTGTAATTGTCTTTACAAAGAATTTCCTCTTGCAGACTAATGTCTTTACACTTTTCACTTTTTTTTTTAAATCTTTGTTTACATAGGAAGAACAAATGCCAGGAAATGTGTTTCAGCAACCCAAACCGACCATTAAACATTACGGGTCTAAAACAGGAAAATGTACAATTATATTTAAACAAGGTTAAGAGAGCAGCATAGCCATTTTCTTATATAGATTTATTTAGGATAGACACTCTTAACAAAGGATGGGGCAGCAACGTTTACATACGTTGGGTGAGAAGAATCAGACAATGGGAGAACAGGATTGTATTAAAAATTAGAGATGTCCT